TCGGTAATGACGCACTGTGAATGAGGTATTTCTAGAGGTCAGGGTTCGTTTTTTCCTCGTCCATCTCGTCTGCAGTTGAATAATTTAAACTCCGATTTATTTACAGTTTACTTAATTTCACTTGTTTTTTTAATTCTTGGTAATTAGTGTCACTGGCATGAAGTAGTAAAAACGCAATTAACCGCAGTGCAGCAACTCGGGATAGACCATCCCGATGCAATGGGCAAATTATTACTGCCCTAGTATTTTGGGTTTGCCAGCTCCGCACCCTTGATAGACTTGGTAACTTCTTGTAGACTTCCGTTTTTATCACTGTTTTTGTAAGGCTAACTGTGTACAAAGGCGGGATTACCTTTCGATCAATACATGTTATTGTTTTAAAGATGTGCTAGACGAGGCTGACACTTGTGAACAATACAACGTGAATAAGCATCGCGGGCAGGATTTCAAGGATCGCGGGCGAAACAAAAGCGACGCGGCTGTTTGTCTATGCGACGCGGGCCCGCAGTGCTTGAAAGGCCTGGGGAGAACACTGTAACAACTAACCACAACCAGTTTAATTTTATTAATAACTAATATAACTAATGTCAGGAGTAAGCAGAAATAACATGCCATGATTTTAAAAACAGTAGCAGGCATAGCGACAAGAAAGATTTGACCAAACTGGCATGTTGCTGATCTAGGTGGAGGTCATTGACATGGGGTATTTGTTCCTATAGTTCCATGCAAATCAGTATGGTTTCAACTTTCTCTGTCACATGTATTGCATATATAGTAGTGCTAATTAGGTATAAAGAATGCAATATTGGTATGCCAAATGTCACTAGTTAATACTATTATGCCAGCTGAGTTGGATATATCATTTGTCTGGTGTCAGAAACTTGTACTTTTATTGACCTTACTCGGTCTCAGCCATTTTATCCATTAGTACTAATATGCAGATTGCAGTATTTTGAGAAAACCTGTCCCAATATAAAACTGTTGGGAAATTGAGAATCTTGATCACTGAAAGGGCCTAGACTAGTCTCAAAATGAGGGTTCTGTGTGGATATTGAGCCCAAGAAGCGCAATTTTGGGTTAATGTGGCCGTTATCTAAAAACACTTTGGATGATTTCTCTTGGGGATGTCTGTGAAACCATTGATTATGTCAACAGCACGTGCAGAGTTAATACATGTAATTTGATTGTGTAAACTAGTATTCGAATCACGTCCACACCATTTACTCACTCACTGTTTGAGCGGGTAAATTTTGAGGGTTGATGGGTAATACATAGTTCCACACAAATGAATACCGTATTTGTTCTATTAATAGTGCATACAGTAATGTAATAAAAATACATGTATGATCAAAATAAGTCATATTTTATTGATGCATCATTCAATATGATTATCATTAGTTGAGTATCTTTTCAGAATAAATACAAGTTGCAAGTATATTGGACAGGTTTGACTTTTAGTATCTGGCCATATTGAATATTATTATACATCTGTCACTGTAGCGCCATAAGTTACAGCGTGTCGTAATTTTGCGGTATTGTACTGGGTATTTTCATCCTACCATATTAGAAAACTGAAATTCTAAATATGGAACAATTGTGCACGTAAGTGTTGTCACTTCGTCTTCTGCTGTACTGTATATATCTAAAATCACAATTATTGTACTAAATCATTAAAATAAAACTCATTTTGATCATTGGAAACACTTCTGTAATTTACATAAGCAAATATGCTACATAATATTAATGGAGGAAATATGGTATGTGTTTAGAAAATTTGAGACATTATTTTTCGCTCGTTAAATTCAATTTAGTTGCATAGAACTATTTATAATATTATCCTGACTATATTGTCCTCTAGATTAATGTTCCAATTTACTATTGATGATTAAAAGCAAAATTGCAAGACATGTAATGCTGGGTTGACTTTGCTTAAATCCTGTCATATTTTTTTCCAAATTGATTTTGTACATGTTCAGTCAGGTATTGGAAAAATGCCACCCCTATACAATGTAGTTCTCATTATACCACAGAATGTTTCATAATTTTGTAAATCGTGAATACCTTTCCCACACATTAACTGAGATATTCTG